GAGACGCACAACAGTTCTTCTGTGGCTTTATAGCTAATATTTTCACTTACACAATTTAGCAAAATCAGACAATATTGTGTCTAATATATACCACAATATTAATTTCTTATTATTGAATTGTTGTAAATAAATATCACATTTGGAACTGGTCAGTGCCCAAAAAATGCTCGGAAATCTCTTCATGTAGCCCCAAGAGTGATTACTGATAAACTGTCTGAAAAAAAGACACCCACTGACTTTCAAAGCTGCTAACGACTTTCTACTTTGAGGATCTTGATAGAAATGTAGTGGAGTGAAAAGTACAATATTTGTCTTTCAAATGTAGTGAAGTTAGAGTCATAAGTTCCCAGAAAAAAATAATACTCAAGTAAAGTACAGATACTCAAAAAGTGTGCTCAAGTACAATACTCAAGTGAATGTACTTAGTTACTGTCCGCCTCTGATTATAGAATAACCTGAGATAAAGCAAATAATAATACATTTTAAAATATGTTAATTTGTGCACTTGAGCAAGGCAGTGAACCCCTAATTGCTCCCCGGGCGCCGCAGCAAAAATGGCTGCCCACTGCTCCGAGTGTGTGTTCACTTGGATGGGTGAAATACAGAGCACAAATTCTAAGTATGGGACACCATGGCCACACGTTACATCTCGTTCACTTAATATGAATACTTCACCTGGAGAGGAAGTGTAAATAAAATTATATGAAAATATGTAGGCTAATATATATATCACAAACTTGTAATAAAGAGTGACTGATGAATCCCACTGTGCTGGAGCTCATACACTCCTGAGAAATGCAGGTGGGACGAGGCCGTGATGCCTGCTGCTGCTGTTTTCAATAGGACCAAACGCTTCTCTGTTTCTCCCTGCAGTGGTTCTGTGCTGTCCTGTCTATCAGTGCTGACATTATGCTAAGCCCTCCAATCTAGCCTTTATATATATATGGTTGCCATAGCAGCATTATTCCTGGGGAGTAGCAACTTCAAATGATTGTATAGGCTTTTGGGGTTTGAACCTCTCAAAAAAAAAGTGTGTATGTGTGTCTTTGAGGAAAAAAGAGATGAACTGTTATTATGAAACACTTTTTATTGTATTTATGCTAATGTGCCAGATGTGTCAGATTTCCCATTCAGACGGTCAGAGCTGTTTTTTTGTTGTTGTTGTTTTTTAATAGTTACCAACATTCACACCCTAATTTTTTATTTTTGGCTAACCAAACCTCAAATTTCAGCTGACTGGTCATCTTTTCTGTCCTTTTTTATTGACCAGTTTCAAGTAAATATTTAATCAAATAGATGCCATTTTTTTATTGCCAGTCTGATGCCAGCAGTAAGCTGCATGTGCCAAATGTAAGATTCCGCACAGGCTCCAGCGAGGAGGATGCAGCTGAGGAAAGCTGTGTTTGTTTTCTGCACAAGTCTGTAGTGTTTTCTTCTTCTCTCATTTCTGAATATATGAGGGGCTCCATCCCTTCTTCTCTCTCTTCATTTTCTGCCGCTCACTTTGAAAGGAAATCTCCAACCCAAAAAAAGACTTTTGTGTTTCTGAAAGGCAGAATTTCAGAACTTTAGCGTTGAGGTTCCCCCACTGATTCTGCCCACACAGATTTTGACAGAGAGAGGGAGGGAGGGAGATCCGGTTGACACAGTGCAGAAACATTAAACAGCATATGGGTGATTCAGCTCATTAGTGCATCTGTGTGTTGTACAGACTAGTCGACTGAATGATGAGCTCATTTGCACACACACATCACATGCACGCACGCACACCTGTGTGTGCATGTTTGTGTGGGTTCACACACTTTGCAAATTGCTTAATGGGGACATTTTGCAACTTTTATTTTATTGTGGGAGACACCAGTTAACAGATCCGGGGATCATTACCCAAATGTACAAGTTACGCACAGATAGCTCTTAAACATAAATTGAATTAAAATTGAAATTGCGTTTACAATTGTTTTGAAACTTCTGGATGACCAGCCGTGCACATAAAACTGGCATCCTTCCAGGATTTGCAAAAAAAAAAAAATAGAAAAATTGACCATGTTTCAAAGTTCTCTCCTTTAAAACCCTTAATTTAGTCTCTAAATAAAACACATGTATTCATATAGGCTATTAATTATTATTATTATTATTATTTTAAAAGTGTACAATTATAAAACTATTATGAATATAAAATAAAAAATAATATATATTGAGATTAGGAATGTTTTAAATGCCCACCGCCCCCTTCCGTCACTATTATTTTACATTTTTGATTTCACAATATTGAGCCACAGCCGGTAAAATATACTAAATATGTCTAAATGTATACCTATAACATACTTAAAATAAATCACATCGGTAAAACATTTTAGATTAAATATATATATATATTTTAAAGGTGAGTGGCGGTGAAATGTTGCGCTGAAACACCTCTAGTATTGTGTATTTACTCATAAGATTTCGTTTGAAAACAAGTTGCTATTACTGATTTACTTGTTAAACAACCTCCATGTAAAAATAATTTTTGAAACAACCAAACAATCTGGTTTTAATTTTAAAATCATAAAAATGTATTAAAATGTAAATGGTCCTTCAAGACAGACTGGTGTCATGTTGCATTTCTTTCTTTTTTTTTTAGTTTTTTACATGAATAAGCCCATTTAGAAGCCTACCTTTAGAAAAGTTTGAAATATGTTCAAAACGGTTCACTGGGCGACAGATTATGATGTGCTCATGATAATTGATTTAATAAATCTATTTTGAATTCATTTACAGGTCAGTTGTTAAGACCGTGTGTTGGCTGACATTTAAGCCTTATTTTATTTAACGTCCATCTTGAGAAACATGACAGGAAATATCGCCTATAATAAAGCCACGTTTGTCTTGAACATTTATTGTTTCTTAATAAATCTCAGCGCAAAATAATTCTGAATTCTGAATGTCCTTTTATCATGTGAGCCTGAGATATTTTAATTGACTAGTGGAGTAAATGTTTTTGAAATATTCATGAAGTTGTTGTGCTCTTTAGAAAAGGCGAAAGGGGTCAGTTGTTCCATTCTAGCCTCTTGACATTGTTGATTTTATCCTCATGGCATAGCGGCGTCTCTCCGTCTGTGTATTTCACCAATTCAACACTCGCCACCTAAATATGTGTCGAAAGGTTAGATCTCCTCTGAAGAGAAACAACTCATCCACAATGGAGAGACTTCCCATCTCACTGCCGTTGTCAGGACAACCCGAGCGTATCCGTGTCCATAATAAGTTTCAGTTCAAAGCCGGTGCTTAGGCTACCTCTTTACAACACTCTCATGTCCCTTCCTTCCTTCTCTTTCACTGCTGATTCTGAGACCTAAGGCTTGAGCCCTTGTCCAAATAAGCTATAGACAAAAGTGTTGGTTTTCGGAGACGCTGAGAGAAGGAGATGTTGTTTTCCTATTAACTCTAATTCTGTCAGAGACAATACAACCCATCGAGGTCGAGCTACTTCTTAAAACGGGTTAGATTAAGATCAAATATCAAAAGTCATTACAATGAGTATGAACACTGTGTGCGATTCGAATTCAAAATAATTTGTAACATGTAGCCTATAATTGTAATAAAAAAGTGATCCGTAATTATCTGCTTCACACAGCTCAAAACGCGACTTTACCAAACATATTTATTCATTGGAGAGAAAAAAAACGATTTTGCGAAATTGTAAAATGGTTAAGACATTTTCGTTAAATATGCGATTTATAAGGATCAACCTAAAAGCAAGCGTTTTATGCAGTTGTGCATTGTGGTGATTCCCGAACAAAATATTTACAAAAAACGAGGACGGAGTCAACGCTGACACGGTGCAGGTCTCCATTACGCAATAGCGCGCACTGCACAAATCTGCACCCAAACCCATGACATAAACATTAAAATCTCATTCACTGATGTGCTATACCTAGGAGACCTTAGTTTATAGTAGAAAGCTTAGAATTAAATGTCACAGTGAGCGATTTATCGAATCTGTTCAGTCGAGAAAGATGTTTTACAGAAGTAAATAAGAGAAACCTACAAATGTATGTTATACTTTACTAAACCGATGTGTTTAATACAGTTACTAAATTCAAACCAAGTAATAGCCTAATAATAAATAATGTACCACAGTGTTTAGTATTTCATTCCCCCCCCCCCCCCCCCCCCCCCCCCCCCCCATTTATCAAAAATAAATATTCACTTCAAGCACAGATTGTTCTCTCGTAAACGCATAAAACTGGGCGGAGCCACAAAAACCGTCAGCCTTGATTACTCACGGTGAGTAAACGTTTGATTGGACGAGTGAACATGATTTGGGAGTTACACAGACCAATGAGATTCTTAGATTTGGGAAACGGGGTTACAGTCGTGAGGGGGCGTGGGGTGCCCTGGAGAGACCCCAGAGATAAGCGCAGTCAGGAGCGCAAAAATACTCAGTTGGATACACGACGCACAGAGAACTTGCGCAACCGCTACAAGTTTCACTTTGCGCACACGAATTGTACCGATGTACACATTTTGTACATTTCTGCAGCTTTTCCATCGTGTCAAAGGATTTATTTGATTTGACTCTAACTTCATCACTTGGTATGAGTTTTAATTAACCGTATTACGGGCAATTAACAGCCACTCAGATTTGTATATCCTACTTTTGTTTTCTTTTTAAACTCGGGTGTAGTCGCATCTTGTAATCAAAAACCGTGGTGATGTTACTAGATGCCGGCCACCAAATATCTGGTTTAGGGGTTGGCACGTTCACAAGGCATCACTCGGCTGTGAGCGAGACGCAGGACAGAGATATGAGTTTCATGGAGTCGGCACACATGGGCGCGTTCAAACTGAACCACTCCGATTTGTCCCCGGGCCAGAGCGCAGCGTTTGCGCCCCAAGCAACCAGCTATTCCGCGGCCGCTCTTGGAGCGCATGCGGCGGCGCACGCTGCCTCGTACGCCACGGGAGGGCAAACACCCCCAAATGATGTGTGTTACGTCATAAGAGCGCGCCGCTCTGCTCTCCGCAGCTGCGACTATCATGGCGGCTTACAGAAACGCTGCAGGTTTTCAAAGAGTTTTGCATGCTGTTAAGGTGAGCTTTAGTATTTGAAGTCGCTGCATGATGGAAAACAATTCATATAACGAATCTAATGATTTGATTTGCCATGTTATCTGTCTAAGCGTCCTGACTTGCCGTAAAAGATCCGCGAGGATTTTCACTTGACACGATACACAGTCTCATTGATTCGTAACTGTCAAGTATTATTTATGAAACATCACTTGCTCGCTCCTTAGAAGTTTATGGTGTGTCCTTCATTGTTATCGTTGCTGAAATCACGACCAGATGTCAAGTCAAGTTTATTTGTACAGCGCTTTTCACGATACAAATCATTGCAGAGCACCTTTACAGCAAATTAAGTTTCTACAATATTTAGTGGTAGCTTATCAGTGGTGACTATAAAAAAATCAATTAAAGACGTAATAAAACACGATGAACATTATTAACAGCAATTATTATATGATGCAATCAAACTTATAGCAAAATGTGGTAGTTCTGTAAGTTGTTTCAGGGTTGGCATCATCTGAGGTCCTCTGAGGGGTTGCATCATCTCTTCTCAGGTGTTCTGGATCCAGACTGAAGCTTGTGTAAATCCTAGTTACAGCAAAACAGAGAAACAAATAGAGACATAATTAGCGTAGCTGCTGTTCCAACCAAGCAAAATTGATTTGTTTAACCCAAACTAAAGAATAATAATGTGCATTTAATCAGATATAACTGCAGTACAAGATTATGAGATGCATTATTTGAATGCTTGGCCAAAGAGATGTCTTTAATCTAGATTTAAACAGAGAGAGTGTGTCTGAACCCCGAACGTTATCAGGAAGGCTATTCCAGAGTTTGGGAGCCAAATGCGAAAAAGCTCTACCTCCTTTAGTGGACTTTGCTATCCTAGGTACTACCAAAAGTCCAGAGTTTTGCGACCGGGAGCGTGATGGATTGTAGCGTGGTAGAAGACTAGTTAGGAACGCAGGAGCTAACCCTTTAAGGGCCTTATAGGCAAGTAATAATATTTTGTAACTGATACGGAACTTAATAGGTAGCCAGTGCAGAGACTGTAAAATTGGGGTAATATGATCATATTTTCTTGACCTGGTACATCTTGACCAGATGTCTTTATCACTGATGACTGTGAATTCACGTCAATGTCAAAATAATTTCATAAAGTGTTTAGCTGATGCAGCTGTGCCGAATGTATTTAAAGACGTTTTGTCTGTGCAGCGAAAATGTATTTAATATTTGACTAAAAGATTCCTAATAACTTTGAAAACAGTTTATATCTTTGATTGGATCTAATTTCCACTTTTATCAATGACAGTCAGTCAGTTCTTTTTGCTGATTTAAACTGTAAATCACAAAACATGTGTGTCTATTTTTTATCATGAGGCGTGTTTTAATAGTGGGGAGTTTTTCAGACATATGAATTCAACACAAATGCCGTTGTTGTTCAGAATAATATTTAGACAATTTTATTACTGACTTTATAAAAAAAAAATCTGTCTTTCATGTTTTTTTGTTACTGTAACTGAACACAATGCTAGTGGTCCTAATATATTTGTCACTTGTTTTGAACGAAGTTTTATAAACCAGAGGTGCCTAAACGTTTTACTATGAAGGGTCAAAAGTTGATTAATTGAGGTGTGCTGTTTCATGGGATGTTTCTCCAGTGGTGGGCCAAATCAAAGGTCATCACGGGTCACCTTTGGCCTGCTGGTCCTGGTTGGGCATCTCTGTTATAAACAGTTTCATTCAGTCAGTGGTGACAGCATTGTCTCTCTGTCTTTTAGCATGTCTGTCTTATGCAGAGGTGCGGTGTTATAATCTGCCGGTACTCTACAGTGTATGACCCAAATGAGAAGGTAAGTCTGATAATAGGAGTGTTTGATATTCATGGATGCTTCACTTTTCTTTACTTGTGCATCCTTGTTTCCTTTCCTACATCTTAGTGCATGAACACCATGCTATTTTAATGGATTTATATAATTTTTGTTTGTTAGACCATATAATAGGATCCAAGTGAGATGTTGGGTAAAAAACTAAATCATGGTGCTGTCTTTTGTCAGTTGACATGTGATTAAAGCTCTGTGAACACTCGAAAGCTAGTTGACTGCATTATTCATTTGTACACTACTGTCAAAATATATTTTTAATGATTTTAATTTAAATAAAGTCTCTTCTGCTCACCATAGTTGCCTTTATTTGATCAAAACTACATTAAAAACTGTAATTGTGAAATGATTACAATCTAAAACCTCTGTTTTCTATGTTTATATTATAAAATGTGATGCAAAGTTGAATTTTAGCCGCCATTACTCCAGTCTTCAGTATCACATGATCCTTCAGAAATCATTTTAATATTCTGGTTTGCTGATTAAGAAACGTTTCTTATTATTATCAATGATGGAAAAAGCTATTTTCAAAAGTTTGAGGTCAGTAAGATTTTTAAAGAAATTAATGCTTTTTTTCAGCAAGAATGCACTAAATTGTAATTCATAATTTTACAAACCATTTCTATTTTAAATAAGTGCTGTTCTTTTGCACATTCTATTCATTAAAGAACCAGTAAAAATGTATCGCAGTTTCCACAAAAATATTGAGCAGCAAAACACTGTTTTTACTGTGTTTTTGATCAAATAATTACAGCCTTGGTGGGCAGAAAAAAAACATCTTTCAAAAACGTTAAAATTATTTCAAACCTTTGACTAGTAGTGCATGAATATTTATGTCTAAAGTAGGCTTTAGAAGCTGATTTTCAGAGGATTTAGTTTGTCATTAATGTTAGATGTTTCTGCATATTAATTGATCATTAGATCATCAAATGCTGCAATCTGTTGTAGCATTTTTGATGAAAATTAATGGTATTGTTTTTTAGTGAGAGTGATGAGTAGCATCTGAAAAGTTTCCACTTTTCCCAGATGACGGACATGCCGACATGTCTGGAGCAGAATGTGGTATCTACATATAGATATCCATGGAGGAAACAAGGATGCCTCAGTTATTTTGAGAAACACCCCATATCATATCAGGGTCAAAATTCTCTTCACATACTCTCTCAGCCTCTACACTGCCAAAAGCCTGTTGCATCCATGTAGCTTTGATGTTTCATTCTCCCATAATCAGCCTTTGTCTGGAGGTGTGTTTGTGTGTTGTGGGAGTGGGGGTGTAGCAATATGAGCAAATGGGGAAATATGCTTTGAGTTTAGGAATGTGTTCTTCAATACACGTTGCCCTAGGCCAATCTTGACACATGGTTTATAGGCAGACACTTCCGTAAGTTTTTCCATAAATTGTTTACACGTGGCAGACAACATTAGCAAAGCCCCATGCTTTGATCTTATAGGCACACTAACATCCACCTTAAGTCAGAATCATCGAGAGCGCCCTCGTTTTAAACTTGTGTATGTTTATTACTGCACTTTATGGAATAGATAACAGGGTCATGCCATGTCAAATCAACCAAATTTTCCCGGCTCAAATTCTCAAATTTGTTAATATTTTTTCTGTAGAAAGACAAACATAAATAGTGATGAAAGCCAAAATATTATATGTCAAAGATTTATATTTACTGAGTAATCCACTATTTTGTAGAGGGGGGTAAAAAAAATGACAGTAGAAAGCTGGCAGCATCATTATTTTATTATGATATATTATTATGAGTCTATTAGTAAAATCTATTGACTTTAGCAATTTTCGTTTCGTTATATGCCAACGGTGACAGTTCAAAGATGGCAAAAATCTTTTTTTTTTTTTTTTTTTTTTGCCTCAAGTTTGCATGCCTTTAACTAAAGAAGTATTAAAGATATCTTAATATATTTTTAGATTCTGGTTTTTAACAAACTTTCCTTTTGGTATCTTCATTTTAAAGGCCCTCGGTGGTTCAATCCCAGAGATATGGAGATCTTAATGCCGCTCCATAAATTGTACACATTTTCAGTGGTCAAAAACCAAATGTGGGTCATTTTACATACAGCTGATACTTTTTACTTTTAAAGAGAAATATCTGAAGAACAAATAATGTTGAAACTTGTGGTTTTCTATCAATACAATTGCATAGAACATACCTGTCTGAGTGCCATAAATATTATTTTTTCCAAAGTTTGCATGCCTGTAACTCTAAAAGTATTCAAGATAGTTTAATATCCCCGCTACAGAATAGTGGATTACTCAGTAAATGTAAATCTGTGACATTAAATATTTTGGCTTTCTTCACTATTCATGTTTGTCTTTCCACAGAAAAAATATTAACAAAATCAAAAATTTGAGCTGGGGACCTCTGGTTGAGTTAACACGGAATGACCCAACAGTAGTTTATAAATAAAGTAGTTTTTCTACCTGTTGTACCTGATACAGTTTAATTATGATAGATGTTCATTAGGGGTGGGAGAAAAAAATTGATTCTCCGATGCATCGCTATTCTCTCTTCAACGATTCTGAATCGATTCTGAAATGTTCAGAATAGTTGAAGAGAGAATCACGATGCATCGGAGAATCGATTTTTTCCGATTTGAGCATGGTTTTCCCCCGCATGTGGCATGTATGTGCGCTAGAGACAATCGCGGTGTGCTTCATTGCACAGAATATGGGTTGTGAGACACGTGCGTATTACTTGACAGTGTGTGCTTCCACCCGCTGTTATTACAGTATTTTACTTTAGATATGCATTCATTTATGCCGTTTGGAATGCAGTACGTATAAGATGCACGAAACTCATGTACTGACAGACTTTCACATGTGCTTTGTGTTTGATGTCCTGAAGCTCGATCTCGGCTGCGGTTAAATGCACTTGCATCTCCGAATAGTTTTATATATGAAATTGATGTAATCACAGTCAGTTATGTTTTCAGAACAGGACAAAACATCTGATATATCAAAATAGAAATGTGCATTAGTGTGAATCGGTGTGAATGCAGCCTGTTAAAGCTGCCACTGTCTGTGATCTCATCAGTAATAATCAAACAGCAATAATGCTGAGGAAAAAAGAAAAACCCATAACTATGATTGTCTGTAAACTTTCGGATAGCCTACTTAAAGGGTTAGTTCACCTAAAAATTAAATTAGCCCATAAATTACTCACCCTTAAGTCATTCTTTCAGATGAATCCAGTCGGAGTTATATTAAAAATGTCTTTGATCTTTCAAGCTGTTTAATGGCAGACAGCGGGTGTTGCATGCATCCGTCCAAAAAGAAGTTAAATAAAAAGCGCCCATCCATAAAAAAAGTGTCTCACACGGCTCCGGGGGGTGAACAAAGGCCTCCTGTAGTGAATCGATGCGTTTTTGTAAGAAAAATATATATAATCCATATTCAAAACGTAATAATCACTTTAATGTAGCTTGCGCCAACAGTTGTACACGGAAGCAGCTCTGGGCTGGTGAGGTATGAGTTCAGCGTTGCGCATGCGCCGGTGAGTCTCATGAAAACCATCGTTTGTTTACAGGATCAAAGGAAGCAACGTTTCCTTACTTTAGCAAAGGAAAACCTCTCTTGGCTTATATCAAAATCCCCCGACATTATTCTTTACAAATCCTCCTTTTGTACTTCTAATAAGTGACCAGTGTTTTGTTTTGATCTCTCCCCTGCGCTTCCGCGTGCATCACTTCTGAGCGGCGCATGCGCAACGCGAGGTCATCCTCCCGGAGCTGCTTCCGTGTTCAACTGTTGGCGCAAACTACATTAAAGTGATTATTACGTTTTGAATATAGATATTTTTCTTACAAAAACGCATCGATTCACAACAGGAGGCCTTTGTTCACCCCCCGGAGCCGTGTGAGACACTTTTTTTATGGATGGGCGCTTTTTATTTAACTTCTTTTTGGACGGATGCATGCAACACCCGCTGGACTGCCATTAAACAGCTTGAAAGATCAAAGACAATTTTTTATATAACTCCGACTGGATTCGTCTGAAAGAAGAAAGTCATATACACCTAGGATGACTTGAGGGTGAGTAATTTATGGGCTAATTTTCATTTTTGGGTGAACTAACCCTTTAAAGAACACTTATTTTTAAAATAAATAATTGTTTTAAAAAGTAGCCTGCTTTATATAATTTAATAAAAAAAAATTAAGTAAAATTTGCACAAAATAAATTTGAGATAAAATGTATATGAAAATGTAGCCATGTGCAGTAATATTGAGAATGTGACGCATCGTGATATTGAGTTGAATCGAATCGTTGACATGGTAATTGTAATTGAATTGAATCGTGAAACCGGTGAAGATTCACACCCCTATTTTTAAGATGGCAGTTCTGACTAACAGAGTTTACAACTATAAATAAAAAGCATAGAAATGGCAATTTTGGTTAAAATGTAAAGTTGTATTTGCACAGCAGAAGAATTAGTTAGGAAAAAATGTAGCTCAAGAGTTGTTTTGGAATCGGATCAGATCGTGAAGTGCCTAAAGATTCCCACCCCTAATGTTCATCCAGTTCTTATATTCAGTTCTGCACTTAGAACTTGATCTTTATCTCTTCTCTCTTCTTGTCATCTAAAAAGCAGTGAGTGTTGAACTGCTTTCACTTACAGCTAAATGAGTTGAGCTTTAGTCAGCGTTAGAGACACACACTGTGGACAAATCAAGTGTTGACAAAACAAATGTCTTAATCGCCCTGTTCCCTTTTCCTTTCCACAGACCTTTGATAAAATCCTCATCGCAAACAGAGGCGAGATTGCCTGCAGGGTGAGTGAGAGAGTGTGTTCTTCACCAGCAAGGATCCTTTCAGTGTGTTTAAGGCAAAACATTAGCTTTGTCTTTCCATTATCATTTTAAATTTTGAAGTCCTACATGTATGATCTTTACATGAAGTTTCTAGATGTCTTTTACCTTCAATACAGTTTTACTACTATGAAATAAAAAAATAAAAACATTCCCATTCATGTGCTGTTAAATATTCTCTTTGTTTCCATTCATAGGTGATTAAAACATGTAAGAAGATGGGCATCAAGACAGTCGCAGTTCACAGTGATGTGGACTCTAGTGCGGTGAGAGAAATGAATATTACCTAAATAAAAAAGACAAATACATTGAGGTTCAAAAGTCTGAGAGCACAAAGTTTCTGCTGTAAGTTTATTTATTGGTTGTCATTATGTATTAAACTATTCTGTTTCTTATCATGAAATTGGCCTTGATGCTGGAATGGCATAAAAAATACGATTTTGAAGTATTTAAAGCAAATAAATAGAATCATTTTACTCACCCTCATGTTGTTCCAAAGCTGTATGACCTATTTGAAGAATGCTGGTAATAAACAAACAAATAATTGGTTACTGTTTATCTTCATACAGGTTTGGAATTTCATGGAAGTGATAACAGAATTTTCATTTTTGGGTGAACTATACATTTTTCACTTTAACTTAAATGATAGTATCATTTAATTAAAATCCTTGTATAAAATTAGAAAAATGCTAAATAGAAACATCTTCATTTCTTTTTGACCCCACTGTAAATTATGTTTGATAATTCATGAAAAACTTCCACATATCAAAGAAAAGATTACCAATACAACTGCCCGTATATGCTGTTCATGAAGACTATGAAGCATTTGAAATGAATAAATAGATTGGCTGAAGCAGGCTAGTCATCTGGAGGCAGTCTGGTACTGATATCTAAATTAGACCCCACTACACTTTTACAAGCATTGCAAGATAAACCGAAGCTTTTGCTCCTCACCTTTATTTTTTTCATGGAGTGTAATCCTCTATTGCCATGATTGATAGCTGTCAGTTTTCACCCCCTCCTATTCCATATGCATGAGAGTTTGATAGAGGCATGCAGCTTCCAAAGATCTAAATGAAGATGTTTAAACCAGAGCAGTGGGGGATAATCTGGACTCTGTATGGGGGAACAAATTGACATTAGAAGTCCATATACTGACCCCAGGATTGATGTTCAAATATTTTACAAACACATTCCTAATGCAGAATCTTTCTTTCAACTCGACTTTTTATCTTTTCTTATGTCATTTTCTGAAACATCACGAAAGATAAAATAATTTATTTAGAAATTTAGCGTTTACGTTAAAGTGGTCCATTAAAAGTAAGCCGGATCCGCATCCGCATCTAGTTCACAGGGTTGGTGCTGACAGAAAAATACGTTTATTAGGCTCCTGAAACAAATGGTGGGGAGCCGTCAAGTTTTGCGCTCCATTAAAAGACTCAGACGGAATACTCATTAAAGAGAGCACTCACTAGAGATTTGTCTGTGTGATTCAAAACCTTGACCAAGTAGTGTTTATTTTAATTTAAGAAATTGTTTCTGTAAACAAAAATAATTTACAGTCGGTTAAAAATATCCAATTCAATAATCACTTCTTCAGTAAGATGATCCTTAAAGTCAGAGGTTGCTGTATGTGGCTGCTTCAGTCTGTTGGGCTCATTTGAGTGCCTTGGAAACTCCTCTACCTCTGTTTGCGTCACCCTCGTTAAATGCGAAGGAAAACAACTTTGTGTCCCTTTTTACACATGTGTGGAAAACATTAGCAGAGAAGCAGCAGTTGGCTAGCGAGTCTTTTCCAAACCTCCCCTGTTGATGCAGTTGTCAATATTAATGCTTCCCCATTGTGTGGTCTGTCACTCCGTCAGCTCACTGTCACAGTTGCTTCACACCGTGTGTGACGACATCTTGGCCACACAGACATTTGCACAGACGACTAACTGGAATTAACAACTATGAAAATAAGTGTTTAAATGTTTAAAGTATTGGGTTAAAAATCTGAAAAAAACATTTTTTTTACATAAACTGTTATAACCAGTATTGCATGTTATAAACGCGTATAACATGCAATACTGGTTATAACATAGTAAAAAAAAATCTACATTTTAAAAACATCTTTGTAAAAGTACTTCTTTTGCATGCTTTCCTGAAGCTCAAACTACATAGCCTGACATTAGCAACACCCAGGTCGTGGGTTCGATTTCCATCAAACTAAATCTAAATGTTCATGAACTGGTAAAGATGTACGCCTTAAAGGCAGTGTAAGTTTCAGTGGTTAAAAGTATTTGCCAAATGCATAAATGTAATTCCCTTAAAAGGGTGGTTGAGAAACTGGCATAAAAAATACAATAAATAAATAAATAAATCAGGTCTAAATAATAATGCAATAAATAATGAAATAAATGGGTCGAATTGACCTGTAAACATCAAAATAAAAAATTTCGGTCAATTTATTTTAAGGTCCAATTCTCACCATTAACAAACCATTAACTACGACTTTTGCCTCAATAAACTCCTAATTTGCTGCTTATTAATAGTTAGTTTAGTAGTTGTTAAGTTTAGGTATTGAGTAGCATTAGGGATGTAGAATATGGTCATGCAGAATATGTGCTTTATAAGTACTAATAAACAGCCAATATGTTAAAGCTGCAGTCCGTAACTTTTTTTTGGTTAAAAATGATCCGAAATCAATATTTGAGCGAGTACATAACCAACCAGTGTTCAAAACTATCGCCTTACTTTAGCCTGATTCACAACGGTAAGTTTATAATAATGTTTTCTAATTTGAGTGGTACGGGTAGGATTTCGTGGGGAAATTTGAGCATGCTGCTGTGTCATTACGTCACGTCTGTAAACATAAGTTGTCCCGTCCACTAGACTATCGCATGTGAGGATCCTGCAGGTGACGGATTGTTTATAGCCTTTTCTCACAGCAGCCAGAATAATTAAATGTATCATTTTGATGGCGGATTGTAATCCAGAAAGGATTGTGTTTATGAAACACATGTGAATGAAATTAAATTATGTGCTTCTGATTACAGATAGCCTGGGATTACACAAGATTTGTATTTTAAAGACAACCAGTTCAAGTGGAGCATAATTAGCTTTTTGGGTTAAAATAATTTCTGAATATGAAATTCGAAGAGTATGACAATTAGATTAGACTGTGCAGAAATTGAAATCTACACGCTAATACACACTATACTCATAGTCACCAATGCTGATGTTGTTAACATTAATAATTTGAGAATAAAGTATAATAATAATTTTCATGGTTTGATGTGATATGAGCTAACCGATCTTTAGATTCAATCACCATTGGTAGCGAGATTTATGGTAATGCTGTTTTCCTCAGTTGGTCAGAACAAACGTGGCTGACTTGTTACTTGTTCAGATGACAATATACGGTGAAAATTCTTATTTAGGTCATATATTCCAAGACGTAGGCTAGAATCTATGATTGCGAAGTACAGTAAATATCCACACCGGTGCGGTGACTGACTGCCACACATATAATCTTCAGAACATTAGATTCATCCGCGCTGGAGCCGTGCAAACTCACAACCCACGCAAGGAAGATAATTCCACAAACAGCTGCAATTGCAGGTTTTCAAACAGTGATGACGACAAAGAGGCAAAACTTACGGACTGCAGCTTTAATAATAGGCCTGCTAATAAGCAACTAGTTAATAGTGAGAATTGTACGCGCATTCCACAACAGATCAGAGTGACACTTTGCAGGCATGCTAATTACCCTAAATGAGTGAAAGTCACAATGCAATTTTATATACATATATATATATATATATATATATATATATATATATATATATAGACTTTGTCTCTTTTCCTGTGATTTCATTCCATCAGGTTCACGTAAAGATGGCTGATGAGGCTGTGTGTGTTGGTCCTGCCCCTACAAGTAAAAGTTACCTGAACATGGATGCTATCATGAACGCCATCAAGCAGACTGGAGCTCAAGCTGTAAGTGTGTGTACATGTCTAAGGTAAAACGCAGGGGAATTTAGCACAGTTGGAGCCTAATCCATGTTGGTGTAAACAAGGACATATATTATCATATGGTCTCCTGGACAATGTTATTATCTATAAACTGAGTGATGCGATGAAGCTGTTAAATGTCACTTGTATAACATTAATTCTATGGATGCATGCAGGTAAATAATTTTGTCTCTTTCTCTGTCTTATAGGTTCATCCTGGCTATGGATTCCTGTCTGAAAATAAGGAGTTTGCTAAGAGACTGGTGAGAAAGAAATGTGGATAGTTAAAGAAAAGAAATATTTAAATGAGTTTGTGTTAGAGTTGGGGGGCTGAGTAGCCCCTTCACTTATTGTTCTACATCGGCCAGTGTTCCTCCCACACACATACACACACACACACACACACACACACAGTTTTCGTAATTAACAGCTTAGACCCCCCAGTAGTAATTTAATTAAAGGTGTGAGTTCTAAGGTGAGAAGATTATTTGCAACCCAAATGAAGGCAGAAAGGCCAAAAGGGTCATTTGATATAGAGACTCATTCCACATTCACATTTAGTTCCATTTTTTCTTTTGAAGGACAGTGCTGTATTTTTTAGAATGTAGCCAGTTCTGATAGTATTAGTCCATTTACGTAATATTGAGTGTACTTGCATTACCGTTCAATAGTTTGGTTAAAAGAAGTCTCTCCAGCATCTATTGGTGAAATCAGTCTTCAGTGTCACGTGATCCTTCAGAAATCATTCAAATATGCTGATTTGCTGCTCAACAAAAATTCTTATTTATCAATGTTGAAAACAGTTGTGCTGCTGCCTATTTTGGTGGAAACCATGATACAATTTTCATTTTCCATTTTATATTTATAAATGATTATTTGATAAAGTTCAAAAGATTATTTGAAAGAAAACTTTTGTTACATTATATATTTCTTTACTCTAACTTTTGAGCAATTTAATGGATGCTTTCTGAATAAAAGTATCACTTTCTTCCAAAAACAAAAACAAACAAACAAAAAAATCTCCCTAACCTCAAACCTTTGAACGGTAGTGTAGGGTGGTTGATATTCAATAATCCTATAGAAGTAGCTCACCCAAAAAGTGACAATGTCCTGACATTTGTTCCCTGTGCAATAACATTTAATAGGAACGTTTAATAGCGTTCAGGCTTCAAAGAGGACACAAAACGTATAATAGCTTTATACCAGTCTTAGTTTTGAGTGAGCAATAATTGAAATAATTGTTTATAGATATTCTTCCCCTCCAGAGAGATGTTAAGTGCTAAGAGTCAAATCTAAATGTGTTAGATTTATGAACAAATAATTCAATTTAGTTTAGTTCAACTAAAGTGATTAGTGCATTTTTTTTTTTTAAATATTGGACTCAAAAGTATGATTTGTTCAAGAATTAGTCATTGCTACTTCTCTTTTAAACTCTCATGGAGAGAGAGGGCAGATGCTGAGAATTTCAGTGAATTATATATTTTGTTCCTCCTTACTATTGTATGGCTTCACAAGGCACTTATAAATGACGCACAAGCTTGATGGACTACTTTCATGGTAGTTTAAAAAGCTCTGATAAGCTTTTATAAGTTTAAAAGCTCTACTCCTGTTTTTTGTAAAAGAACATCCAGAATATTATTCAAAAATGCTTTGGATTTTTCTTTCGTCTTCCATGGAAGAAGATAATACAATTTCGAAACAATACAATTAATAAATGTTTAATAGAATTTCATTTTTTGGTGAACTATCGTTTTAACCCCTGTGCCCCAAAATAATTGAGCCAAGCGCTGCGGTACTGACAAGTGCATGCGCCAACCTCCAACTGTGCCTCAGTGTTGCCATGGCAACTAAACTCAGCAGCTACCATCTTTTTTTTTTTTTTTTTTTTAACCCTTCAATCGATTGACTAAATAAGGACATGCTTCGTGTCATGGCAGGCCTCAAACACACACAGAGAGTTCACATGGGGCCGTCACTCTTTTTTCTTTTGATCTAGATATTTTAGCTTTTTTTAGGATTCCAGATTTCTTCTGCCAGTTATCTTCTTTTTGCCTGCTTTGCTGCATTGTAGAACAGAGAAAAGAGGAACAGACAGAATTTGAGAATAGAGATGTGGGAAGATGACACGCCTCTCTCTTCTTACCTTCCGTTTCTTTTGTCCCCAATAGTCAGTCATGGTTATTTATTGTACAATATACACCTCTCTGGTGCGTGTATCATGTGTTACATGTCTTACTCTCTTTAGTGAGACTCTCCTGGCAGAGTTTCTGGCAGCTGCGCTGATGTGCTCGCAAGATCCCCTTTGATATAAATCACATTCAGGCAGGAGGGAAACACACGCGGTGCGTCGTCACAGCAACGGCGGGCTCACGTTGATGGGTTGCCTAGAAGTAGTTGTAGATCAAATTTTTAGCAAAAAATCTCAAATAAATGAGCTTTTCTGGTGCTGTTTTAAAGGCTTTCGGCAGAACATCATACTGTTAATCAACAGAGCCTGTTAAAAGTTCATCAACATGTCAAAATAAGTGTTAAATATTAAGAAGTCGGGGACCCGAATCAGCTCAGCTGAACCCAGGTTTGTTTCATGTCTCTTCAAGGTTTGCGACTGCATTGATGTAAAGGACACCTTTCGATTTGAGTGTTGTCCTGCAGTGAATGAGTCACAAACTACTGTTGTTTTGTTTGTTTGTTTGTTTGTTAGTTTTTTTATCTACATCGACTTTGAGGAAAATCTGCCTAGCAACTCCGAATGAATAGAAGCAGTTTTGCTGCATTTTGGATTGTGCCTCAGTCATCAGAATTACATGAGTAGGCTATACATACATTATTGATTTGATGTGTGATGTTAATGCAAAACTCTCTTATAAATGAAATTGTACTGAAAGTTTGAAGTTTGTAATTTCTGCATCACTAGCAGCACCAACCAACCGACCTTTTGCTAAGCGTTGCATTGGCTGGAATGAATTGTGACCTTGCAAAACGTATTATCTGCTATTTTTCTTAAATTATGCAGATTTGAGCTTAATAATTTGCACAGCCGAGCCAACCAAGGCCAAGAGAGAGGCTGCGTCCCAATATGCATACTTTTCAGTCATTTGTTTGAAATGGTAAATGGTCATTAGTTGCTCTAAGGACTCATTTGTCTCAGTCAAGGAAATACATAATTTTATATTTTTATATTTATTATCATATTTGGCAACAAACATAAGAGAGAATTGTGAACCTTTTAAATTTTCGGGCTTGCAAACTTCTGATTCAGTGAAAAATCAGTTCCCCTTTGGAATTTCTTCACTTTTATAGTTTGTGGTTTGTAATGGACTTTAATTGATTACGGAAGCTGATTTTGCATATATGCAAATATGCATACTTCCCTACTATATAGTAGACAAACAACAGTATATGAAAAGAGACGTATTCATAAAACGGTATGCAAAAAGCACCCGGTGACCTACTTATTCCGGTAAGATGTTGAAGGTCGGATCCAGTGAATGGCAGAGAAGTTGTGAATAGCAGAGAAGAAACACAACTGATGCTGTAGGTCACATGACAGTGACAACATGATAAATGTAGTATTTCCAGATTGCATTACTACATACTTTTATAATATAGAATGTATTTTTTTTAATGGTCAAAAAGTATTTATTCAAAAGAAGTAGGCCCTATCTACTCTGAGATTTCAGATGCAGCCAGTGAGAATCCTTATTTGATGGCTAATAACAATTGTATAATGAACTGAATTGTTTATAGTGTTTTTAAGCATTGTCACTGTGGTGCTCTTTAGTTGCTATCATGTCTATTGTGACTTGAATCAATATGTAAATGCACTGAAAAGGATACATTTTGTCACTAAGATTGCCCTGCCAACAACAATTTTAGCTAAATTCAGTTAAAAACACGATTCAAACACAAAATATGTTCATAGAATTACATTTAAAAAGAGCAAAACTTCAGAATTATTTCAAAATTATCTGATTTAGATTTATTCATAGACAGTCAAACATATCACATACCTTCAACATTTCTCACATTATCACAGTTATTCACTATAGTTTAGAAAATAGTAATAAAACATGACAAGAACTCAGAGTTAAACTGTATCAGAACAAATTCATCTTGATAATGTCAGATAACTTTGATCGAAAGGTATGTAATGAATTAGGTAGAATAGCTGTCAGCTGTTAAATTTAAGCAGTTAGATAATACCAATTTAGGTCAAGCAATTACCAATAAATGCTTAAATTTGTTCAGTCTGAGGTGTACAAAGATTGCATTAGCCATTTAAGAAAAACACTTAAGCAAAACATGTTCAGGTCAAAGTGTCTGAATTTTTGGTTGCATATTTGACTGGTAGTCCACTGTGTGAATAATTTTTGTGTATAATATGTCACAGTTTACTTTATTTTGCTATCCTCACTTACATAAATGAACTATAGTGTCCTGCAATCACTAGTAAAAAGATATCAAACATTGGTTTGACTGTAGATTTTAATACATTTTACATACAATGAGCAAATTACATTTTACTTCAATTAATTTTACGCTATATTATCAAATTATATTTACTCATAGGTTCTAATTAATTTTATGTAAAAGTCAAGTTAGATTAACTTTACATCCTTTTTAGTAAAATTATAGATTTACTTGCAACTTTTGATTCATTTACTGACATGAACACAGTAGATTAACTTAGTTTTATAGGTGTTAAATTAACTTGCAAAAAACTGTGAAATGAAAATTATGTAATTCTTACAAGTTTTACTAGAAAAAAATATTTCAGTCCAAATGTCATGTTTAATTTAATGTGTCACTTGCCGTTTATTTGTAATTATTTCTGAAATGTACTATCAGTTTCTGAATGAAAAATATTTTATGCCATTTTTTTCACTGTTGTTTTTTTCTGTGTATAATTCCATATCATAAATGTATGAATAACAGCAAGGAGGAACAATATTGTTTGAATGACTTTCAGAACATTTTTCTCCATGCTCATGAATGTTAAAAACACTGACAGCCATTTAGAATCTACTCAACTTCACAGAGCTGGCAAATTTAAAGTGAAAGACAATATAACGGCGGTCCACACTTATAATATACAGTGGTGTGAAAAAGTGTTGGCCCCCTTCCTGATTTCTTATTTTTTTGCATGTTTGTCACACTTTAATGTTTCAGATCATCAAACAAATTTAAATATTACACAAAGATAATGCAAGTAAATACAAAATGCAGTTTTTAAATGATGATTTCATTTATTAAGGGAAAAAAGCTGTCCAAACCTACGTGGCCCTACGTGAAAAATTAATTGCCCCCTCCTGTTAAATCATGAAAGAACTGCAATTAACCACATTATTTTAGAAAGCGGAGTTAAATTTCACTAGCCACACCCAGGCCTGATTACTGCCAGACCTGTTG